ACTCCAATACCCAATACGCAGGTCCCCAAATAATGTTGTATGTCCGAGGAGGTTAACAGACGGGATCCAACAAGTGTATCAGGTTCTCCATTAAAAAAGAAAGCATCCAAGATCCAGTTTGGAGGGCCCGAACGGCCGAGTGTGCCCAACCAGGATAAGCAATGGGACTCCCGACAACAGCGTAAGGCCCTTAGCGAGTGACATAAATTTTAAAAGCCTGTACACCAATGTAAAGGGCCCGTGAGCACATCGTGAGTGTGCCAGTAGATTAACCAAGTCCAACACGAAAGGCCCCTGATCAACCGAGAATACCCCGACAGGTTGACATATTGGGCGCTCGGCTATAGCGTGGAGAACCCTTTGAGCGAATGGGAAGAATCCGTGGAAAACCCCTGATTGACAAGGGCGCCCCGGCACGCCAGCAAGCAGGGCCCAGTAACAGCGTAGGGCCCTCGGAGCAAATGCAAAAAAGTTAGGTGCAACGTAGAAGGCTCCTTAACGATCGGATTGACCCTGTAAGTGGGACATAGGAAAAGGCACAGACACTCTATAGGGCGTGATGTGCTCAGACGTCTCCAAATCTTAACATCTCCCAGATTTCTTGCTTTAAGCAACAGTTCACCTGCGGTCATTTAAGGTCAGCGACCTTGTTTGACCTTTCGAAGGTCGTGATGACCAGAATCATACAAAAATGCTTGATTTTTGCACTTGAATAAGCGTGAAGGATACCATTAGGCAGTATGTTCCTAAGAAAAAATGTTGATCTCGTTCATTTAGGGTCAGTGACCTATTCTGATCTTAATGAACTTCATGCAAGATATATAATGCGGTTCCTGTGATCGATAAATTCAAAAACGGCTCAGTTCGTTAGGGAGCATGCCTTCCGATCCACCCACACGTGGCAGGATGGGTTCTAGTCGCTTTAGGGCGCTCGCTGCTTGCCCTTGACAGGTACGGCCCGCGGCCGGTGGCAGCGGTCGCGCTAAAGGTCAGTTGACGTCAGAGGGCGGAACGGACCGTGCCGAGCATTGCGGCACGTTAAGTGTAATGAGACGCCAAGTGTTTCACCACATCTTCTCTGTATTTTAGTCTCGCACCGTCAGGGACTGCAGCCCCTGACGGTGCGCCTACACTCGCTGCTCTCCGAACGGCGACTCCCCACAGCGAGTGTTGTTGCGACGAGTGAGTGTTGCCGCGTCGGAGCGGACGAGAACGAAGGCCCGTGCCATTGTGTACTTGTTGATCATTAGGATCAGGGTAGGGTGCTCGTAGTGCAGTTGTACTCTGTATCCCGCGCCCCTGCTGGGGCGGGGCGCGGCACGTGGTCAGGTTCGTAGGCCGGCCCCAGCTGCGCGGCAGAGGCGCGCCGCCGCCCACAGTTCGCACGGTCCCGGCTCGCGGCCCCCGCTGTCGGGGAGTCACCGTTGGGAGAACAGCGAGTGCAGATGCACCGTCAGGGGCTGCAGCCCCTGACGGTGCGAGACTACAATACAGAGAAGATGTGGTGAAACATTTGGCGTCTCATTACATTAAGCTTTCGCCACTTAATTCTGCCGTTGCCTGGAATTGCGCGATCGGATGGTGGGGGTAGGGTCAGGGCTCACACAACAAGCACTGTTAAGCGTGAGCGCATGATCCCAGAAATCCATCCATTCAAAGGGATCGGGTCATATTTATAAAAAAGGAGCACCATAAACTACCCCATACAGCAAGCACTCGCGTGATAAGCCTGGCTGGCTTTGGCCTAGGCTTGACCATCACACCTGACCCTAGGTCAACTGAATTTGTTGATTCAGCTCTTACGTGGCCTAGGAAAGCTATCACAGATGTAAGACATTCGTCTAGGATTCCGCTTTTATATCATTGTTCGAGTCTGTCTCCGCGACGTCCACACCAGTCGGCGGTCGGAACTAGACTGTATTTCTGTACTCCGCGAGACACTCTGCCATCTACCGTTCGGTCTAGATACTACTAGTCCCGCGCGCTATACCCGGTACTCGCACAATCATATTTAGCGATTTCCCAGAAATCGTTTCCGATAAATCAATGGGCTGACTTTGACCTGCCGTAGATCAGTGACCATACAAGGTACGTCTCAATTTTTGATACCCAACGATCCCCTGCCTAATTTTTCGGGCCAGGTATCTTCAAGGACCTCATTCCCGCCGCCCACCACCACAGGTGATGCGGCGGCAAGGTGCACCTGAGCGGGAGCGGACGCGGCTGGCGGCCGGCTGGTCGATAATTGCTAAGTCCAGCAGTAAACTTTTCGGAAAATTAGACCACCCAAACTTTTACGAACATAACATGTGTGCATGTGTATTAAAATGGCCGAGCTGTAACGACCGTCTCATCGCTTTTGGGTCCATTCTCAGGCATTAGGAGGCGTCACTTCGACTGGATTGCTCTAAGTCCAATAAGTGACCTCCCTGCACGCGAGTGGGGACAGGAGCCTTCCTATTGTGAGTTTCGGCGGTCTTGCATCTGACCTACAGGGAGATGCATTACTGGATACGTGGCGGCCCTCGACCGTCCGGCTGACTGTCACCCAGAGCACTTTTAAAATGGAAACATGTCTCCATTTAGAAGGCAGTATAATGGTCCAAACATATCTCCATAATTGACACATGTGCACACGCACGTCGTTTGCGCCGGCTTGGCCGGTTTTGCATCTAGCCTGCAGGAATGTCTCTTACTGGACTTGCGCAATTCAGCTGATGTTGCGACTCGTTATGGGTGAGGATGGACCCGAAAGCGATGACACGGTCTTCGCATCTTGGCATGTGGGCGTCTGCGTGCGCACTTACTACGCTTGTACCAGTTTGGGTGGCCTTTCGTCCAACTTGTGGCGAGCTCCGTTGTTGGTCTGGACACAATTTTCGACCGGGTCGACGCCTGCCACTCAGAGCAGTTTTAAAATAGAAGCTTATTAATGCCAGTCACTTGACACCAGATGGCCGATACCTGCCCCATGCGAGAAATGCGTGCACACGTGCCACGTTTGTCCCGTTTTGGCGGGTCTTGCTTCCATCAAGCAGGGAGGTCCTTTAATGAACTTGGAGCAATTCAGCCGCAGTGGCGCCTCCTAATGCGTGAGAATGGACCCAAAAGCGATGAGACATTCGTTACAGCTCTACTACTTAACCACGCACGTGCCTGTGCTACGCTTGCACCAGATTGGGCGGTGTTGCAACCTTATTTGCCGAGAGGTCCGTTGCTGGACTTCGCAATTTCGACAGACCGGCCGCCAGCCGCCCACGCGGCGCACACAAAAGTATCTTAAATCCCAGAACGATAGAATGGTAGACAAGTGTCTCCATGCGTCATATGTGTGCACACGTGCCATGTTTGTGTCGTTTTGGCCGTGCTGGTACATCACCTGCAGGAAGGTCACTTGCTGGGCTTGGAGTGGCGCCTCCTAATCCAGTCGAAGTGGCGCCTCCTAATGCACGAGAATGAACCTGAAAACGGTGAGACGGTCGTTACACTCAGCCATTTTCACATACACATGCACGCGTGCTACGTTTGTAAGATTTTGGGTGACCTGATTTGCCGGGAGGGTCCGTTGTTGAACTTATCAATGATCGACCTGCCGGCCGCCAGCCGCCCCCCCGCTTGCTCGGGTGCACCTTGCTGTCGTATCGCCGGACGGGCAGCCGCCGGCCGGCCGCCACCTGTTGGTAGGCGGCGCGAAGGATCGGCCGCGGCGTAGTCCAACAAATCCTTGAATTATTCGGCATTGCGTGAGATGATATCGAAGTGTGGCATTCGTGGTAAGTACCTGTTGAACTTTATGTATACCTTAAAACCAGGTACTCATGCCCGAAAGCTACTGCGTGTTTGCAGGCCATATTAGTCCTGTTGTCCCGATTCAGGTGTTGCTTTGTGAAAACCCTTCTACTTTTGGCAGACTCGCCTAACATGCAGGAGCTTGGATGACAACAGCACACACTAGTTTTTCCTTAGAGTAAGCTGTGTCATGGAAAGTGACGCGATGTGTTCTGGGGGTATTTGTTTACAGATGCAGCAATTTCTTCTTTCTCAGTGATTAGCTGAGTGATAAGCTAGAAAGGTCAAAAAAGCTAAAAGATGTACTAAGTTAATGTTAGAAGCCAAAGATGCTTTCAAAGAATTGAACAGCATGAGCCTAGGTCGTTTAACAAAATGGGCCAAGCGTGATATGTTTGGTTGTATTTTATGCGCTGCAGTTTATTCAGTTGTTATTGTGTAACTATTAGTGCAAAATCTGTATCATATTTTACAGGAGCTCTTTTGTGATGAATGAAACCACTAGTGTGATATTGCTTGGTATTTTACAGTGCTTTTTGCCAGGAATGATGCTAAATCAGGTTCAACCTATTCTTAGTTTCTATTTTTGTTTAATGTAGTTGTGCCTTGTTTCAAGTACATGTTTATAGAATCCAGTACAGAGTACCACTCAATCTTTCAGTTGGATGTTTCCTTTTTAATATGCCAGAGCTTTGACTATCTGGATGTTCCTAGAATTCAGACATCATTGAATGTGTTGCTTGCTGTATGTTGTTTGAATGGCACACTTGTGTCTGCCTCTGCCAGTAAGGCTGGTCAAGTATGTAATGTGGACATAAGCTTTCTTTGTAAAGAGTGAGCAGAATAAAATATCAAAGCCTTTATTCAACTTGTGGTCCCTTTATGATTCCATGTGATCAGTATGCCCAATAAAGGTGGCCTTTGTGGGCATGGTCCTGTATGATCGTATCTTGGTACCTTTATTACCAATGCTCCTGACCCTGTCTGCCTGCAGGCTCCCTGTTTTATTGGACAGTCTTTCACCGAGCCATGAGCACGTTTGAATCATCTGGTACAGATTTCAAGGCTGTACGGCAGTCGCTGCTGGCTGAGCGACGGCGCAACTACCGCTGTGGCAACAATTACGTCACACTCTCCAGCATCCCCACCTGGCTGCAGCACAGCCGCGAGAAGGTCGCCGGCGCTCCGTCCGAGGCGCCGCGGTATCGCCCAGTAACAAGCTGGCGGACAAAGTGTCGCTCTGGCGTGGCGACATCACGCGGCTGGAGCTGGACGCCGTGGTGAACGCGGCCAACCGCTCGCTGCTGGGCGGCGGCGGCGTGGACGGCGCCATCCACGCGGCGGCTGGGCCGCAGCTGCGTGCAGAGTGTGCCGCGCGCGGCTGCGACACCGGCGAGGTGAAGCTCACACAGGGCTACCGGCTGCCGGCGCGCCACGTGCTGCACACTGTCGGGCCGGTGGGCGAGAAGCCAGACCTCCTGCGACGCTGCTACGCCGGGTGCCTGGAGCTGGCGCGCCGCCACGGCCTCCGTTCGCTAGCGTTTCCATGCGTGTCGACCGGCGTGTTCGGCTACCCGAACGAGGCGGCGGCGCGCGTGGCGCTGGCCACGGTGCGCCCGAGCTGGAGCAGCACGCCGACGAGCTGGACCGCGTCGTGTTCTGTCTTTTTCTCGAACAAGATGTGAAGGCGTACCAACGTCTGATGCCAGTCTTCTTCCCGCTGGAGGACGGCGCCTGATGGCGCTTTTCTTCCCGCTGGAGTGCAGCGTCTGATGCATGTCATATGGGAAGTTGGAGCCGTGCGAGGAGCCGGCGGTCGTTCGGTGTAAGGTGTTCGGAGATCCGACGTTTTGGACCCAGAGCGGGGTGGTGCGCTGAAATGGCACGGTGACCACCTTCACGTCCTTCGGCGGGCTGCGAACTGCTGACATGGCGCGATGTCACGCGTCTCCACTGAGACTCGGAGCGGCTTGGACGAGTGGAATGCTTGCAGGCTGTCTCCTATTGCTTTGTAATCTGTGATAAATCACCCAGCTGGTTCCGCGAAGCTTTAAGCCAGGTTGTGGACCTTCACGAGCGTGTGCTGGGTGGCGTCACTCGGCGCCCGTGACGTCCCTACGGCTGGCGGCTGCCTCGGTCTGACGGCACCAGTGGCACCGGCTCACGTGCGTCAGTAGCTCTCCGGAGAGCTGTGGCGGATGCAGTTGAGCGGCCAGCGAACAGAAGGCGTCGGGGCAAGATCTGTGTCACAGGACGGAAGCTACTGAGGGCCTTCTAGGGTTGCAGTGGGTTAACTGCTTGCCTTAGAGACCAGAGCTACGGGCTCGATTCTCTGCACTGCCCGGGCTTACTGTGGGGATAAGAGACTGGCGAGCGCATCGTAAAGCCCCGGCGACAACGGCAACTAAGGGTTGTTGCTCTCTCTATCACTAACACAAGGTACGTCGCCATTGGGTGTCGTTGCCGGCGCGTAATATGGCGTGTAACGGGAAATGAACACGCAAAAGCTTAACTGTGTGACTCGTATCCTAGATCTAGGGTCATGCACGCCATCCATACGATGCCGACTGTGGGGAGCTCGCATGCCGAGCGATACGCCACGTGAAATTATGCCACTGGTAGTACCAAGAGTTACCTCTTCAAACGATCCGGTTCTGGGAAGGCTAAGAGCCGCAATGTATGGATGGGAATGCCAGTGAACTTCCTAATTAGTTTGTGTAATACAGCGCTGGTATACGGATGCCGGAGTTGAATAATGCGCCTCCGGGTCTGCTACTGCTGGATGGGTAGAGTGCAGCATCCACGTCTGCCACTGCTGGATAAGATTGCTTCATCCGGGCCTGCTGTTATCGGGCCTGCGGGCCTGCTGTTTGTTATCTGGGTCTGTCCCTGCGGGATATGGAGTGCACTGCGCCCAGCACGACGATATGGTCCAACCTCCGCCCGTTTGTGTACTTGAGATTTTCAGCCACGTTTAATCATTCCGTGATCAGGTCCACGCTCGGCTCCGCTTCCTCTGTTAACGACGGTGCGTGTGAGTCAGTCGAGCGCTTCTTGAATGCGATACAACATGCTGCATTGCGCATCATAGTATGAACATTCAGGATCTTTCCGATGGCGGACCGCCTCGTCTAAGCCCATAAGCCCCCTTTGGCCATTAGGGGAGAGGTGCTAAGCGTGAGATACGCCGGTGCTCGGCATGAGATAAGCCGGTGCTCAACTTGAGATACGCCTGTGCTCAGCACATGAGATACGCCGGTGCTCAGCGTGAGATACGCGGTGCTCAGCGTGAGATACGCCGGTGCTCGCGTGAGATACGCCGTGCTCAGCGTGAGATACGCCGTGCTCAGCACATGAGATACGCCGGTGCTCAGCATGAGATACGACGGTGCTCAGCGTGAGATACGCCGGTGCTCACACATGAGATACGCCGGTGCTGCATGCATAGATACGCCGGTGCTCAGCATGAGATACGCCGGTGCTAGGCATGTGATACGCCGGTGCTAGGCATGAGGTGCGCCGGTGCCAGGCATGAGGTACGCCCGTGCTAGGCATGAGACACGCCAGTGCTAGACATTAGGGGTACGCCCTACTAGGCATGAGATACGCCGGCGCTAGGCGCGGGATAGCTAGTGCTCAGCATGAGATATACCGGTGCTCAGCGTGAGATGCGCCGGTGCTAGGCACGAGATACGCCGGTGCTAGGCATGAGGTACGCCGTTTCTAGGCACAGCGGTGATTAATAAGCGGACGGAAAAGATGACGCATCTGAAACAAAGTGCTTTTGGACGCCTTAGGGCATCAATTTGTGCGCTCAGAAAGAGGCTGCGGACGTCTATTTGACCTGTGCTATGCCTACACTGATTATACGGACAGATTAACCTCAACAGCGCCGCGAAGTGGTGCTGGAATCTGGTGGATGGACTGGAATATTAAAGGTACGCTCTCAGTTTCGTGTTGCTGTAACTGATAATTTGACACACGACATCCCGAACATCGTTAAAAGTTCTCCCCAGGCTAATCTTTCAATGGTCATTCATTCAATGGTCACTCATTCATTCATTGGTCATTCAATGGTCAATCATTTTGAGACATTCGGAAGCATTCTTCATTCACGACAGGCGTTCTCACGCTCACGGCGCCCACCGTCTGGTGCTACCTGCAATTGCCAACGCTGGTCGGTTTCACGAAAACTGGAACCCCGGCCATCGTTGTTCTCGTTCCTGAGATTGTGAGCGTGTGGGGTCTAAAGCTATTTGATTGTTTGTTTCACTAGTAGTCGATTCTGAAAAGAATGAATGTTCTCAGGCGAACATGAGTTAGCGTCTTCTCATTTTTGACTTTTTGACTTTGAGGTTCATTCCGGTTGCCATTCTGGCTACACGAAGGTCTGTGGTCGGTCAAGAGGCTCTCAGATGGATGCGTGAAATCTTGCGTTCCATGAGCATATTCAGGGAGGACAGCAAGCAGCCATGCAGGGGAACCAAGGGTATAGAACCAGGGGAAAATGTAGCCTTTTGGTACTAGAGGAACCTCGGGTTTTCCCCGAACATCTCCGTTCACCGTACAAGACAGTATGCTGCCATTTGTGACGTCATGATGACATAATACTGTCATTTGTGACATGAGCAATTGTTGCCAGCGCGTTGAGGAAGATGGTTGATGAACGAGGTAAATTGGCATGTGGTTTAAGGTAGTGTAAAAAAAGCTAACGCAACTTAAATCTGAAAGGGGGGAGGCAGTTGACGTTGCTTCCCACACGTTGAGAAGTGTGTGGAAGAGGGGGGGGGGGGGCATAGCTCCTTGGCCCCCTGTTCCCATAGGCGGATCCTGGGGGAGGGGGCACGGGGCCATGGCCCCCAAAATCTCTGAGAGTATGTTTTGGCCCCCTAAAAAACATTCCCAGAACGTCATAAAGTTTTGTCTACTTACCGTCTGTTTTAATTTTAACTGTTTGAAATGTTTCGTTATAACTTTTGTTTAAGATTCAAAAGCGTTTCAGTGCTTTTTCGGTTTTGAATGGTGTACCTACTAGGTACTCGCGAGAGGCACCATGCACTGGACCTCGGATCCCACACCAGCCAGCTGGCGACGAACGGTTACCTCCCCCCTCCTCAAAAAAAAAAACAACTACTCCAGGCTAGATCCGCCCCTGCCTGTTCCTGTACCTATGTACTGGACACATAAAAATGCGCTGTAAACACAACGATGAGCATGAGTTTATTGTA